TTTATGCAGAAAATGTTTTCTTTGCAAAATATCCCAACAACCTTGTGCAAATTTCAGAGAATCATGGTATTGAAAGAGACCACAATGGCCATTGAGTCCATCCCCCCTGCCAGGCAGGAACTCCCAATCAAAGCATCCCTGACAGATGACCATCCAGCCTCTACTTAAAGACCTCCAAGGAAGGAGAGTCCACCACTCTCCAAGAGAATGTGTTCCACTGTCCAACAGCTCTTACAAAAGTCCTGAACTGCAAAGAGTCTTCAAAAACTGTGCTAAAATTATTACTTCCTACCTTAGAGAAAGGAACTAATGAAGAATTACATACATATTTTGAGCTCAACATCTTTTTTCCCAAAAAAAATATCAGAACTCATCTTTCCACTTCCTTCCATTTGGTCTGTATCTCTGTCACCAACATCCAGTAGTCTAAAACAAAGATACATTTATGCAGTGGCATCCCTAGGGTTGGTGTCACCCCCCACACACCATTGACCTCCTCCAATTTCACACCATACAGAATCATTAGTAATGTTTTTTTGCACTAATATTACCCATAAATTTTAACCCCCATATACCACTGAATGTAATGTTGTGACATAAACAACTAGCAAAATTAAAATTACACCTTCAAATCACAATATAATATGCACAACCTAAATATAGTTACATATATATAGTGAAGATTTGGTTAAAATGTGATATTTTTAAAGATTTTTTAAAAAATTAAATTTCCAAAAAAAAATGAAATTTTGAAATTTTAAATTTTAAAAATTTTGGGGCCTCTCCTTTCTCCTCCCACTGAGCTTCACCCCACTACCACCATCTCTTAAATCATTTTAAAGGGAAGCAGGTGAATGCCGCAGCCCATTTCTGCCAAAAGGTAGGTGTTTGAGGAGCAGTGGTGTCACCCACCCACCCCATTTGGGGTGTCACTTCTTGCAGTCTGCACTCCCCACACCCCCAATAATGTCACTGAATTTGGGCAGAATGCATGAGTGGAAATACATTTTTCCCTCTCTACATATATGCATTTTGGAGTCTGTTGCAGCACAGAATCTTGTGTGTATCCACATTCTACAATTATAGCACTTTGATAACACTTTAGCTGCCTGACTCTTTCCTATGGAACCCTGAGATTCATAGTTTTGTACCTAGAATTGTCTGTATAGGGGAGAACCGTTGAGATTCTAAGCACTAAATATCCCAATATTCCAGAGGATGAAGACATGGCAGATAGTTGTATCCAACTGCTATAATTCTGCAGTGTGGATACACCCTTGGTGTGGTCCAAATAGATGCTGGGTCAGGCTCTCAAACAAAGGTAGCATCACTGGGCTCCAGGATCTGGACCAGTGGTACCCAGGGATGGCCACAGTGATTCCCATGTCAGTGTGATAACGAAGCTATTCCACTTTTTAGTCCATAATCTAAAAGAACTATCCAAGGTACTGAATGAAGCCTGTCCCACCCCAGGTTAGGTTCAGAATCATAGGTCCAAAACACACTGCAGAAATAATCCAGTTTGAGACTACTTTCACTGGCCTGGCTCAGTGCTAGGGAATCCTGGGAATTCTAGTTTATTGTGGCACCAGAGCTCTCTGGCAGAGAAGGCTAAATGTCTCACAAAACTACAGTTCCCAGATTTCCCCATCATTGAGTCAGGGCAGTGAAAGCAATCTCAAACGGGATTATTTCTGCAGTGTATTTTGGACCATGGATAGTAAGTCTCGATTAAAACCATTCCACTAACATAGGGGCCACCAACCTCCTCTGGCCCACATATGATGTTAGTCTACAGCTCCATTCATTCCTATACAACAGTCATTCCCACACTTTAGTCCCCCAGGTGGTTTGGACTTCAACTCCCAGAAGCTCCAGCCAGCTTGGCCAACAGGAATTCTGGGAGCTGAAGTCCAAAACATCAGGAGGACAGAGTTTGTGAATCACTGTGATATAACATGGCCCATGGTCAGGAGTGGTAGAAATGGCAGTGCAAGAGAATCTGAAGATAACACCAGTGAACTGGCCTAAGGCTTTTGAGCAATTCATAGGACCTTTGATACCATCAGCTCTCTTTCATTTCTTAAGCAGAAGCAGTTGGATTTCCTGAAGCATAATAAGAATGGGAGCACAACCTTAGGTCCTGGGACATTTCCACAAGTACTAGCTTCTCAAATAAGAGAGAGAGAGAGAGAGAGAGTTTTAAATTCCATTAATTATGCCAAGTGTACATATGTGTATTCAAGAAATTTCATGCTTTAAAAAATGCCAAGCACTAATGCCAACTTTCCTTGGAAGTTAAATCTACTACAACAAAAATATTTGTGAGTTGTGTACACAATAATGCTAATTAATAGTTTCCAAATGAAATGGTGTCAATCTAAATCAAAGATGTCATTATCAATCTGTATTTCCACCTAACAATATGTCAGTGCAATATTTTTGATCATTCAAAACTGACTCCTTTAAAAAATTATTATTTTATTGATAATAAATAAAAAGTAATGAAGAAGAAGATGAAGAAACAAAAAAGAAGAAAGAAAAATGCAAATATAGAACATTTGTCAGAATACATAAAATACATGATATAAACAAAATAAACAACTGTTCAGTTTCTTACTTGTATTCCCTTCCAGGCATTGAATCTCAATTTACTTCCTTCCATCTCAGTGTTGGTTATTTCCAAACCATTATAATTCCCCTTCTTATATCTGAGTCATTCTTCTAGAATCCTATAATTTCTGACATATTGTTCCTATGTTTGTTCCATTTGGTACATGAATTTTAATAATGACAAATCCACTTACACCTATATGTGTTGTGTTTGTGTGTATCCACATCTATTATCTATCTATTCTGTCCATCTATATGTGTATAGTTAGATATGATCTTAGAGTTTTCTAGGGAGGGAGTAAAACAATAAATAAATAAATCTATCATAATATTCCATCTCAAATACAATTTAATATCCAGAAATTAACCCTAGTCCTACAAAAGAGTCAAGGCTACTTTAATTACAAGTAGCCAATCACAGCTAGCAACCATAATTTGTTTATGTGTTTATACATACTCCTAGTTGGTTTAGGTTAAATAAAAGAGTCTTATTCTGGAATAGATATATCATGAAAACCTAAAATTGACAAATGATTCTAGTTTTTCTGCTTTCCAATCTTCTCAATATTTGTTTAGGGCCTCGTCTTTCCTCAGCATGTTTAGTTTATCTTAATCAACCATATTATACAATTTTATTAACCATTCTTCTGTAGTCAGAGTTTTTTTGCTTTCCAGTTTTTTGCATATACTATTCTTGCTGCTGTTACCATGTTCAAAATGGTCTCCTAAGGTTTAGGACCCTTCCTGCTCTATGCTGGTACTTCCCAGAAATTTTTGACCTAAGTATCTTTCAGACCTCCCCTGTTTGGGTTGGTTTTAAGGAGTCAGAATTTTGCAGGTAGTAGATTAGAAGACTTTATCATATGTACTTATTTTTTTTGGGGGGGGGGAATGCCAAGACAAGCTGAATTTTGTGTGGTATGCTCACCATAGAAATTAAATAGATTTGCTTATATTTGCACTCTATATTCAGGTGGCCATGGGCAGGGAAGAAGTGATATGCAGAGTACTCAGGCACCATCATACCTGCTACATCATTGTTGATGTTGAAGCTTTACTATGCCCCACACACCCTCTCTCTTCAAAAACATCAGAAATTGCCCAAAAGTTCTGCAACCTGGGCTGGCAAGCAACAGGACTAGAACCCTGCCTACTAGGCTTCATGTTGGGAAAAGTTATACCTATTGAATTTGGCAAGTGCAGATGGTTGAGAATTTTGTCTGGTTCATTTTTTGATAATAACTTACCCTATTTTGCAAATGTCTTCATAAATTTACCTGAAAGAATCTGAGATACTTTAAAGGAGAAAACCCTGAGTGTGGAAGAAATAATATGTGACAGATCCAACCACCCCTTCTTTTAATTAAGACCAGATAGTTGCTACCAGCACTAGTTAAATTGACCCCAGTAAACCAGGTGCTTTTTTTAAAAATCAATGTTTTTCAGGCTACATAAGATAAATCATCTTATTCACTTTAATGGAAATAAGCAGGCTTTAAATATAAGGGCATTGGCTCAAATGAGCTGTTAACTGAATTGCCCAGATTTTTCTTATTGAAGGAAAAATCAACATCATCCGCATCAGCATCTACAATTATTGTTGATGCTATTTATTTATATTCTGTCTTCTTCCAAAACTCAAAACAATTTACGGCAATTAAAGCAGTTTCAAAAAAAATCCACAAATATAAAAGCATGCAAAAATAGTTAACATATAATTACACTATCTTTGTTGTTGTGTGCCTTCAAGTTGTTTCTGACTTGTGGCAACTGTAAGGCAGACCTATCATGGGGTTTTCTTGGCAAGATTTGTTCAGAGGAGGCTTGCCATTGCCATTCTCCTGAGGCTGAGAGCATGGGGGGGGGGGGGGGGGGTCACCGATTGGGTTTCATGGCCAGCTGAGAAATCAAACATTGATCTCCAGAGTGTTAAGTCCAACACTCAAAATCTCTGTGCCATGCCTGATTCTCAAACTAGCTATAGAATATCAAATAAATAACTTAAAATGGAGGAAGAAAAAGAATAGAACAGTATATTAATAAAAGCTGTAGCAGCCAGTTCCCAGATGTCTATCAGAACAAAAGTCTTCACCTGACAACCAAAGGACACCTAGAAGGCAGCCAATCTGACCTCTGTAAGAAGGGAGTTCCAGAGATTGGTGGTAGCCACTGGTAAAGCCCTTTTATGAGTTCTCTTTAGACCTCCCTGTGAGGGTGGTGGCACTGAGAAAAAGGCCACGGTCTGATGATGCACCTCAGTCCATTAAGGGGAAAAGAATGCTGTATTGTAGCCTAGATATCCTACACATTTAGCCTGATGTCCTAAACCCATCTATAGGAGAGCTGTCCTTATGTGGGATTTACCTCTGTGGAAGCATCCACAGAGATCCAGTGTGGTGTAGTGGTTTATGTCAGACAAGGACTCTGGAGACCAGGGTTCAAATCCCTGCTCAGCCATGGAATCCCACTGGGTGTCCTTGGGCAAGTCATACTCTCTCAGCCTCAGAGCAAGGTAAGGGCAAACCCTCTCTGAATAAATCCAAGAAAACCCTGTGATAGGGTCGCCATAAGTCATAAATGACTTGAAGGTGCACAACAAGAAGAAGCTTCCATAAAACTGCACATTTAATGTGCAATTGCACATTAGATTGAACAGCCTGCTACCTGTTAGAATGGTATTCTTTCTAGCATTTTACTCATCCCTTCTCTCACTCCCACCACCTTCACAGCCATGTTTGTAAGGATGTGAGATAGGATATTCCTGATGGCTGTCTCTGTGCTCTGGAACTCTTTCTGTAATGAGGCAAGAATAAACCCCCTCCTTGCTATCTTTGTGGCAGTCATAACCCTTTTTATTCTGGCAGGATTTTAGGACAGAAGGTTTCTAAACAGTGGGCTTTGAAGACCCTGCTGTATTATTTTAAACTGAACTGTTTTTCATTCATTATCTTTTTAAAAAAATTGTTTCAAGTGTGTTTTAAATTATTTTATTGTCGTGAATAGTTTGATTATCTTTTAATACTCACCGTTTTATGTTTTTAGCTGTATTCATATTGTTTTAATTGATAACCTGCCTTAAGTCCCTGGAAAAATGTGGGATGCAAATTAAGCTCACGAACATCATCTTCACCCTCACTTTTGTAGGGCAAATGATAAACAGCTAAAAAAAAAAAAAAAGAATATTTTGAGAGAGAACAAATAAGAAAGTTTCACTGCCACTGGCAGAGTGATTCAAGTAATCATCATTAACACAAATGGACCTTAAATTCTACCATCATCAGCAACAGCAAACCCCATGTTGTGTTCTGTCCCATTTGGCATTGTGATGTTGCAGATTTTAGTTCACTGGACACACAGAGATAATTCCAAACTGAGAATATTGTCCAGTGGAATCTTGTAGTTATTTCATTTTTTTTTTCAGCTAAGATAGCCATACCTAATTGATGAAATCCTTCCTAATTGTAATTCTTTTCATTTGACATCACAAAGAACATTATAATAGATCTATGAGCAGAAAATGAGTACTCCTTATCCTGCCACTTGTACCTTCCCTAATGCCCCGTTGAGTTTTGTTTTTGTAAAGAAAAAGGTGAAAAATAGAATAATATTCTTCTCATCCATATTCGCAACTCCTCCTCAGCATTGTCCCCAAATTGGTATCAGGTCTTTGCCAGTCCACTGGTATCAATAGGAGGATGCTTGTTAAAGGGGAAAAGAACAGCTTGGAGAGGAAACAATAATGGAAATGTCATTCCTCATTTTTCTGTGTTTCTGCTGCCAATGGCATTGGCTCTTTGGAAGACTCAGATGTTAGGGCTTTACATGGTAGAAGGTAGGGTTGCTTTCTTCAGACTAAGTGCTTTATTAGATTAATATATTGTTCATATACAAACATCCGTAAAGAATCATATTAGAGTAACCTATGAGACATTTGCAGAATACATAGGGGATTTTGAAATAAGTAATTAGATTCAACAAAAGTTGTTATCCCATTCAAAGACACAGTGTGAAAGAAAACTCCGTATCTTGCAGGTGGTTATTCAGAGAGAGAGAAAGAGAACACCAGCTAGCACTTGATTTCTTAGAATTTTTTATATATATATGTGAGGATTTTGATCTGGTTTCAGATCTAGAATTAATGTATGTAAAACATTTTTATGCCATCCTTCCTGTTGCTTGAATTACTGAGTGTATGGGGTTTTGTATCAAGGGATCACAATACTGTGAACCTGAAGCTTTGCTTGGTCAACTTGAGTGCACAAGTAGCAAGACTTTTGTTTCCTAAATATTTGTTCAAGAGGTAATCAGAATCGGAGACAGTTGATATATACAATTAAATCACTTATGATGCATGATGGATTCTCATACTCCAACTGGAATAAGTCACACTTGGAGGAAATGCTCCACAGTTTGTCTTGTTGTATTTTTATAAAAGGTGTGACATCTTGCTATATTTAAAAGGTGTGAATTTCTTTCCTAATCTTGCTGTAGATAGCTAACACCTCAGAGAAATCAGTTTCTCCCCTCCTTATCTCTAACCAACTATTACTTTAGATTGGTGGGGAAGAACTCGGACCATCTAGACTTTCAGATATTATTGGACTACAACTCCTAGCTGACCTACCTAGCATAGTCAATGGAGAGAAATGAGAGAATTGCAGTCCAGCATCTGGAGAGCTACATGATCCCCACTTCTGCTCTAAATTTCTGACTTAGAAGTGCCATCAACCCCATCCAGTGTGATGAACAGTAAGGAACAGTGGGAGCTGTAGACATTTTCTATGCTTAGAATTATGTTACAGATTTTGTCAGAGCACTGTTCCCACCCATCCCCACCTCCTAAATATGTTCTGAATGAAAATGTTTGGCAATGCCTGTCTCAGAACAAGCTCTGCAGAGATACTTAAAGCAGAAATACTTAAACAGCAGAAATACTTAAAGTTCTACCCAGAGAGTGTCAGGAAAGGAAATCTAATCCTTGCATGTTCATAACACAGACTGCCATCACTGACATTTTCTTAGGGAATGTCTAGCAAACAAGTCTGTGAGATCTAAGAGCAATTTCCTCTACCTCCCCTCACTCATATCTCTAATGTGCAATGTAGCATGCACTTAAGCCACAAAAGCTTGTAACATAATGCTTGGAATGCTATGTCATGTCAGCCTTTATAAGCCTCATACATGGCTGTGTTCCATTCTTTGACTAAAGAAAAAACAGAAAAAAATCTATAATAAGACAATGAAGCAAACCGAAATCTACTGAAGAATAAGAAGTGTGCGGTAGGATACCATTTTGGTGTGCCAAAAGACTCAATGGTAACTCATAGCAATAAAAGATCCTTATATTTTTAGGCAACCATTTTATATGTGATTATTATTAAGCAAGGGAGGAAGGGATGAAGAAAGAAGGAAAGACAGATACATATTCCACTTTTCTGTTGCCAGGAAAATAATCAAGGTGGTTCACATCAGTTAAAAAATATGTATAGAAATGTGTCAGTTAAAACACAGCTGGTAAACATAACTTAAAAATCAAGGGATCAAATAATTGAAATCACTCAGTGGGCATTTCAATACCTAGATCTTGCAAATGTTATTTTCGTACTACAACTCCCAGTATGCCCTGCTCAGTAATCAGCCAGTGTGGGGATGCAGGGAGCTGTAGGTCAGTTGAAGGTCACAGTCCAAAAGAACTCTTCCAAACCCTGCAAAAGTCTACAAAAATGAAAATGTCTTAGCAAAATGTTGGATCAGAGGAGGGAATTAAATGATCTCCCAAGGCATGGGGCTCCAAGATTTAAGGAAACCTAGGCCAAACAAAGCTTTAAACTTGGATCATCTCACATCCCAACCCAACATACTATCGTTGACCAGCCATGGAATAACAAGACCAGACACAGAAGACTGGGTTGAATAAGGAGCACTTTATTTGACCTAAAATCTATTTAAGCTTTGTTGAACCTGGAAAGGAGCAAGTGGTGAATTAACCTAGTGCAGAATCAACTGACTCAGGTGTCACTCCTTGACATCCTCCTTAGCCTTCCCCTGGGCAAAATGCCTAAGCCCTGAAGGCAAAACAGTAACTAGATTGTTCCCCATCTGGCCATTCGCTGGAAGGTAGAACCATGGAGCCTCACTCCCAAGTCGCAGGACAAAGCGCCCCAGCCAGCCCCAAAGGTATAAACTTATTGCATGGCACTTACAAGAACGAGAACGGAATGGAATGGAACGGGACAGAACAGGGCAAAAACGCATGTTACTGGACAGGAGAACACCACCAATACCACTGGGAGTCCCTAAGCCGTCCCCCAGCCATTCCTGGCAGCTGATCGTCCTTCAAAAATCAGCTGCCAGGAATGGCTGGGGGATGGCTTGGGGAGTCCCAGCGGCATCGGTGGCATTCTCCTGTCCAGTAACATATGTTTTTGCCCCGTTCTTTTCCATTCCATTCCCGTTCCTTAAGTGCCATGCGATAAGCTTAGTAGTCTCCTTCCCCACTCCCACTCCAGTTCCCAGGACCTAAAGAGACAGCTCTAAAGCTCTCCCCTTCACCCAAAGAGTGCCACAATATTCACTGTGAGTCTTATTTTGTCCCATTACTACCTGCCCCAGAGAAGAAGCAAGCAGATGCAGAGAGGGCAGAAGGCTTTTTAAAATCCCCCTAGCTCTGCCCTGTCATGTTCAGTGTCAAGGTGCATCAGTGTTTGACAACACACCACCCGGCCTCTTTCCATTAGAGGTCGGAAAAGGCAGCTCCTCTCTTGCAGCAGTTTGTGTGGGATGGTAGCAGAGCTGCATTCACTGGGCCAAAATGGCTCCTCATTCTGTAATCTGCTTCTTCAAGAAAAACTGCTTATGTCTTTTGATGCATCATCTTGCTCTTTCATCTTCTGCCTCCCCTGCCCTCTTCTCCTAGTTCCTGGTCTATGAAATATTCACAGTGTTTGCCCCCATCTCTAAATGCTTCAATAAAGGCAGATTTTTTTTCCCTTTTTGGATTCTTTTTCTTTACTGCAAACATGATTTGCATCACAACTGCTTTGGCCCAGAGGTTTTGACAAGCACTTATAAATCTACAATATGACCTTGTATAAATGAATATTAATGTTATTTGCCAAGAGAATTTGTAACCTTTTACAATAAAGTGAGAAAAGGAAGTCAGTAGCAACCCTTTTGGAGGAAAAGTGAACATCTTTAAAATGATTACTCTTGACCATTAGAAGATTGGCCTCTCTTTTCTCTGGTCCAATTTCCCAGCCATTTCCAATTGAGATAATGAATTCATAGCTGCATTTCCACTCTCCATCACCACAATTTTGTATTGTGTTCGTCAGACACAGCATTAATTTGCTTCAGTATGTTGTAAGGCGCCTTGGGTCCCAAGTTGGGTGAAAGGCAAAATTCTAATTAACTGCTTGCCTTTCTCCCAAGATAGGGGAAATAACTAATCAGTTAAT